CAGTCCCTCCCAGCCAGCACGGGCCAGCTGGAATCCCTGCGAGATCTCAATGTCCGGAGAAACCAGCTCACCACTCTCCCCGAAGGTCAGTGTCCCTCTCGGTGCGCCTGCCGCTGCCTCCAGGCACAAGGGGCTAAAAAAACCTTTCCAGCCAATGGAGTGTGGGGCGAGCCTGTAAGCCGCCAGTCCCACGAGGGCTGGGCCTCTGGCCTGAGTGCATATACCTTCCTAGGCCTTCCTCTTTGGTCGCCCTGGCATTTGGTTCCCGGTCCTGGACTCTACAGGGTTCTGATTCTAGCCTGCATCCCATATGGCCCCACACCAGGGAGCACCGAGCTGGACTGGGATTCCACGGAGCTCCCCCTCTGCTGTGCTATGCCATTTCCTGTACTACCCAGCTGCTGCTCCTGCACCCCCCAGAGATGGCTATCTTGGGGTGGGCGACGGTAAAGCACCTGGAGGTGGCTGGCTGACCTGGTGTGTGGCAGTGGGACATCACCAGCTCTCCTCTCTGGGCCTGGCTTGCCCTGGCACAAGGAGAGCAGGTGCTGAGGAGCCTGGGAGCCGAGGGAGGCTTTGGTTGTGAACCAGGAGACCTACTAGCCAAGCGTGTCCCATGAGGGCTCCGTCACTGGGCTTCTCTGCTTCTCCAGAACTGTCGGAGCTACCCCTGGTTCGCCTGGACTTCTCCTGCAACCGGGTCGCCCGCATCCCTGTCTGCTACCGGCACCTCCGACACCTCCAGACCATCCTACTAGACAACAACCCCCTCCAGTCGCCCCCCGCGCAGGTGAGCCAGGAAGGGCTGGGGGGGCCAGTGGAGGGAGCGAAATGGACCTGAGGAAGGGTGGGTGGGGCGGGCTTGCACCCAGCCCAGGGGCAGGGCCTATGTCTGCCAGGAAACAGCAAGAGGGAGCTCTGCCATCTAGTGCAGACAAGTGGGGCAGGGCCCAGTGGCTGGGCGGTGAAGCCAGACCCATCCTTGGGGGAAACTAACATGGGCCTGGACTCCTTCTGTCCGAATGCAGCCCAGAGCCAGGGAGGAAGGGGTGGGATCTGGCCTTCTTGCTTGCGAATCTGTCCTGGAGGGGGCTCTTCGAACAACTCCCCCACCCCACCCCGAGCCTAGTGCCGGTCTCTCCCCTAGATCTGCCTGAAAGGCAAAATCCACATCTTCAAATACCTCAACCTGGAAGCCTGCAGCAAAGCGGGGCCAGACCTGGTCGACTTGGCCCGGGCCAACCGGCCCACCAGCTTCAGCACTTGGTAAGGGAGCTACACCCACATACCTGGACCTTGCAGATTCCAGTCCTCATCCTGTTGCCTCCTCCTGCCCCTCCCGCAGATGTGAACCCATCGAGCTCCCCCACCCCTGCACGGCAGCCTGGAGCCAGGACTCCTGGGTTCTCTCCCTGCTCTGGGAGGGGAAGGGGGCCAGAAGGCTTGGATCTGCCTCTTTCTTGAGAGCTTGGGGAGCAAGCGCCAGGTCCTGTTACCCCCCCCACACACACACTCCCCCCCCCCCACCCCACACCGGCCCGTGCCCAGTAGGCCAGAAGGCGTGGATCTGCCTCTTTCTTGAGAGCTTGGGGAGCAAGCGCCAGGTCCTGTTACCCCCCCCACACACACACTCCCCCCCCCCACCCCAGACCGGGCTGATCCCAGTCAACCCTGAGCTCTGTCCTGTCTTGAAGTGCCTTCTCCAGCTCTTCTCACCGGAGTATCTCAAAGTGCCCCTCCTCCACCCCCTCTTTGCCTCTCAGCCTCTCAGACGAGTTCTACCCCGGCCGGCAGTACGGCGGCCTGGACTCCGGCTTCAACAGCGTCGACAGTGGCAGCAAGCGGTGGTCTGGGAATGAGGTACGGGCTAGGGATATTAACTATCCGTTAATCGAATAGTTGATTAACCTCATAAATTCTTGTCAGTCGACTATTCTGTGGTCCCCGGGCACCCCTGTCTGGGGCGGAGGGGTCTGAGCTCCTGGACCCGGCACAAGCCAGAACTGAGCTGGGCTGCCTGCTTGCCTGGCTTTGTATACCCTCTAAATGCAGAGCCACAGTGGGGGTAGGTCCAGGACCCAGTGCAAGCCAGGACTGCTATAAAAATGTACTGGCAAGGAGTGGGGGGGAAATGTGTGTAGTCTATAGCATTACCTATAAGCTTTGGATAATGGGTTAATTGACTACACTATTACATCACTAGTATGGACTGCAGGGCCCCCAGCCCAGCCCTGCTCCCCCTTATGCTGGGATGAGCTGCTGGCTCCACATGTGTCCCATTCCAGGAGCACATAGGACAGCAACAGCTCCCACCTCAGCCCGGGCTCCGCAGCCTCCCGTCCTAGCACCGGGGAGGAAAAGCTGCCGCAGGAAAGCTGGGCTGGGTTGGCTCTAGGTTCCAAGGCCATGCCCAGAGGGAGGCTAGATGGCAGACAGGAGACTTGAGGCTCAAAGTTTGTTAGGTGCTGCCCTGCCTCAGTTTCACCTACATCAGTGCCACTGACTGGGGGCATTCAGTCAGTTTCACAGATGGTACCTATGCTGGGCAGGGGTCCCTCTGTGTCACATGCCCGCAGCAGTCCCTGTCACCTGCACCAGGTGGGGGTTGGTCAGTTGTGCGGGTTATTCACAGGCAGTCCTGGCATCTGAACCCCCCGCCCATCCCGAGTGCTGCCCAAGAATCACTCAGCCCCCCTATGTTCTCCCAGTCCACAGATGAGTCCTCCGACCTATCGTTCCGCGTGGCAGAGCTGATCCGGGATCCCCGCCAGCTGAAGGAGAAGCGGGACAGGGCAGGTGAGTGGTTCCATTCTCTCCAGGTGGCTTCCCAGCTCTTGGTGATCCTGCGGTAGCTGCCGGAGATGCCTGACTTGGCCTAAGAGGACTCAGCCATTGGCTTCTCCTGCCAGCCACAGCTCCACTGACCCATGAGCTGTCAGGGTGGGCACCCCAGTTCCCAGGTGAATCTCTCCTCCTTCCCAGCTGCATCTGGGCTCGTCTTGTCGCAGACAAGCACGTGGTAGCAGGACTGCGCTGCAATCTCATGCCCCGGCTTAGCTGCAGGCAGTAGGTGGCTGGTGCCAAAGTGGTCTGCCCAAAGGGTACATGCAGGGGCAGGCCTGGTCCAGTCTCCCTGAAAGACCTGCAGCAAAATGGGAGTGGGCCCTGGTCCCCGCCAAAACAAATCGCTGTCCAGCCAGAGTTCAACTCAGTCCTTTGCCTGGAGTTCCCCCATGTCTCTGGCCTAGCCTGGTAGAGGTGCACATGGGCACATGTGTCAGGCAGCCCCCATGGGCTTTGCTTGGTGCCTGGGAGCAGAGACAGCCTGCTTGGGTTGCCAGGTGGTTTAACAAACCCCCCCCCCACACACACACACAAAACCCACCCCGAAAAAATTCTGTTGAAAGGGAAAAAAAGGGGGGAGACCAAAGTTGTTGAGCAAAAAAAAAAGGAGGGGGAGGGGGGCTCTGCACCTTTAAATGACCCTGCGCTCCTCACTCCCCTACCCCTGCCAGATACAGCAGGGGGAAAACTGTACCCACCAGGCTTCCCTCTGAGGGAAACAGGAAATACCAGACATTTCACGTGTCCAGTATTTTCTGGTGTTTTTACCGGACGGGGGACCCGAATAATGGACAGTCCAGGCGAACACTGCACACCTGGCAACCCTACAGCCCGCTGACCCTTTCCTCCCCACAGCCAACGCAGACCTGGAGCAGATCGACTTCATTGACAGCAGCCTGGAGGAGGAGGAGGCAGCCAAGCCGGAAAGGAGCTCACAGGGCGCAGCCCTGGTTGAGGTGCAGGGGGGCTGCACTGAGGGACCCTGAGTATGCAAGTTGAGGAGACTGCAACTCCCAGGATGCATTTCTCTGCACTTGGCCTGTTGGCTGTCCCTGCGCCCTGGAGGCAACACGCCCTGCTGGAATAGGAAGAGGAACTGGCCCTGCAGTGGGAGGGGTGTCACACTGGGCCCTAAACAGGGTTGTGGCCCCAGCTCCACCTCCACAACCAAGGAAATTTAGGTTTTCTGGCAAATATTCGAATACCAAAGTCTCTCGTATGGGAGTGGCTGGCGTACAGCCTCTTGGGAGCTGTGGTTTGCTCGACTTCTGCATCCCATGCTTCCTTATGGGCCAGGCTTGCTGGTGGGATTATGTCTACCATGCAAAACTTAAACAGCAAATGGTCCTGCAGCTCCTTACAGACTAACAAACCATGTAGGTAGTGTCATGAGCTCTCGTGAGCACAACCCACCCAGGTGCACCATGGGCAGCTGCATCCTGGGAGTCCCTGGCACATCTTGGATGATGTAGTTTTGAGGGTCAATTTAGGCCCAGGCCTGTGGCTCCTGCCAGCATGGGGGGCACGGCTCTGGGGCAGGGATGTGGCAGCTGGCTCAGAGGAGGGGCTGTCATACAGCAGCAAAGGAATCTGTGCTTGGAGTCTGTGGGCTTAGAGTGGGGGGCTGAGAGCCAGGACTCCTGGGCACTCTCTCCAGCCTTTTTCCTCCAACTTTGTGTCCCTAGGAGAGGCAGAAAGCAGAGAAGAGCCTTCCCCAAAGAGCTGGTGGTGGGGAGAAGGTGCCAAACAGCAGGTGAGCAGCGGCTGGTTAGGGCCTACTCTGGGACAGGTGAGGGGTCCCTGTGTAACTGGCCACCCCACCCCAGAGATGGGTGCATCTCAGAGCTTGGGCAAGAGGTCTGTGTGTAACAGGCTGTCCCCCATTTCCCCCAATGAGGGGCACTGCAGGCTTTGAACTCCGGCTGCTGAGCACGGAGAGCCAGGAGCAGCGCTATCAGCTGCAGTAGATTGTTACCCTCTCACCTGAGCCAGCCCCCAGAGAGGGAATTAACCCTTGGTGTGTTGGCCTGGGTTAACCCTGCTCATCCCAAATCCCCACACCACAGGACATGTGTGGGGCCCAACCCCCCTCGGGAAGAGCCCGTCGGTGAGGAGCGGAGGCGCCCTGAGCACGGAGAGCCAGGAGCAGCGCTATCAGCTGCAGTAGATTGTTACCCTCTCACCTGAGCCAGCCCCCAGAGAGGGAATTAACCCTTGGTGTGTTGGCCTGGGTTAACCCTGCTCATCCCAAATCCCCACACCACAGGACATGTGTGGGGCCCAACCCCCCTCGGGAAGAGCCCGTCGGTGAGGAGCGGAGGCGCCCTGAGACGCTGCAGATCTGGCAGGAGCGGGAGCGGCAGCAGCAACGCCCGCCGAGCCCAG